GGCTATTATTAGATAAGACAATTTCTCTTTCAGGGTAATCTTGTTCAATCCATTTGTCTCACACAGCTTTGTGTTGCTAAACCAGGATCAACCATGCAAAACATGGACTCTAAACCTCACTTAGAACAGGTGGATGGAAGCACATCTAATTAACTTGGAAAGAGTTTTAAGTTGGACATTTACTTAGTGATTAAATGTACTTAATGTTCCTTTTAGTGTTGGGGGTGATACAGACAATTTTCTTAGGTTTTTAATGCACCGCATAAATGTGTATAGGATGAAGAACTTATATTTTAATCAACAATCTTTGGTTTTATTTATAAAAACATGATTAAAGTTTTAAAAATGTACTTGCTTAGAGAGTACACATAATATACAGAAAGCAAAAAACAAACAAAAAAAGTATGCATTTTTAAACCCTGTATTCAAATTAAACACTGAGTACTCACCGAGGAGCTTTTCAATCACCTCAGTGACCTCAGCACCGGAGATGGAAGAACCCGACCCGAAGCCCCCTGGCGTGTTGGTGGGATTAAGGAGGTCTTCAAAGTACTCTGTCCAACGACAAACGATGTCCCAAATTTTAAGATTTTAAATGTTTATTAAAAAAATTTGAACTCAGTGTTTAAAATGAATTTCACAATGGTTCAACACTGTGGTTTGTGAGACCTGTAAGAAACCACAGTGGTAGCCGTAAACCAAAAACACAAAATAAAAAATAGAAAAAGTGTGGATCCTTCTCAGGATTGGATTACTTGGATGCAAAAAATACTCCAAGAGGTAGCCATTGAGTTAAGCACGTTAAAAAGAAACCAAAACATAATAAAGGCACTTCAGGCCCTATTTACCTTGTCAGGTCAGTGTTCATGATTTCACAAGAAGGAGGCAGGGAAAAATATTATCCATGTAAAAGTTCCAAGTTACAATATTCCTGCTGATCTACTGACCGCCTCGAAAAAGTTAATCTTCAAATGAAAAATGGAGGAAGGTTTTGGATAGCATGCTTCCTTTTACATTTGGAACAGCAACAACCAACATTTGGAGAAAAGAAAAATGCTTTTTCACTACCAGATAATTCTACAAGAGAATGTCCTGCTAGTCAGATCACACTTAAACCTCCAAATATCTGAATTAAGAAAATAACGTAAAGAAGATTTTAGCAACATTCTTTTAATATGATTGTTGTGAAATGTTGTCACAAAGGTTGGAACAATAACTTACTTTGTTTAAGAGCCAAAAGCTTTTTCAAATAGATTGTGGCCTCCGCCCAGGAGGTTATGTTTTTAGGAGAATTTGTGTGTGTTTGTCTGTATGTGTACAGGTCAGGATAACTTGAAAAGTTATGGATGGATTTTAAAAAAGTTTTTATCAGAGGTGTTCGTCATACCAAATTCGTTAAATTTTGGTGATGATCTAGATCATGATCATAAGGCAGGATTTTTTTTCAAGATTCTTTAACATTGTGAGTGAGGGATATTTGGCGGGAAAAGGAGCCAAATTATTTGCCCATGGCAGCAGTGACTATTAACAGGAACAGCACAGGACTCAAAAAGTCCGAAGATATTTTACTGAAGACTAAAACAGACAAAAAAGCGAATATTGTGAAAACTTATTAACAGATTTTATGGGCTCTTTTTTTTCACCAGAGATGTGCCTCGTTGGAAAGAATATCTCATTTAAATTTGGTAATTATTCAGATCATGTATGAGTTTTAGCTATAGGTGTAATTCACAATTTGGGGCAAAATAAGCTGCTTGGAAGAGATCTGCGGTCTCAGAGTGCTTTTCTAGTTTATTTGCTTTTTTTTCCTTCCAATGAATGAAATGGCTATTTTCAAAAAGCTCTTATTTATCTTGGTTATGTGAGCTGACATCTGTGACTGAAAAATCTAAACCAAAGAAATCAGTGAGGGGCCCATTTTTATTGCATGGGGTCTTCATATGATAGAAGTTTCCTGTTATATAAGGGAGAGAGGGACCTCTACTGGCTCAACATTGTAGAAGAGGCACACATAGTATTTTAGTAGAGTCCTTGGTCAACAAACCATCATTCATCTGTCACTAGAGAGGGATAGAATACTTTAAATTACTATCTAATAGTAGCTGTTATTCTGCACATGTTTAAGGTAAAAGAAATAGCAAATAAAAGAATTTCTCAATTAAAAATAGAAAGGAATAAAAAATTAAAACCTAATAAAATATTTTAAATGTTTGATTCAAACAGAAAACATGCAAATATTTTGTATTTTATAGACTAAAATAAGAAAGACCAAATAACATAATTTCAAATTTACAAAATTACGCAGATGCTTTTACAAGTCATGTTTTTACATACGACTATAACTGCAATGGGTAATGTGCTGTGACAGGGTAAAGCAGCATGTTCTGTCTGGTGTATTTCAACAACTTACTCCTAATTCAACAGCAGATAGAAAATAGTACTGAAATATTAAAGCTTGAATATAAACAGGAAGTCTGACTTAAAATGGATATTTAGGCCCTATGAATTTTTGGTCATAATGAGGTTCATTGTCATTCAGTGAGACTAGGTGGAAAGTGAAGCCAGAAATGTTATTTTGCAGTAAATCCTGCATGTTTTGTTTTTTTAAGAAGATGAACCGAATGGCACTAATAACTATCTACCTCTGGCTGTAATGTAATGTGTTAGTTTATGTAACTGCTTGCTACAGCCCTTTAGGTTTCTTAGTCTAGCCTGCAGAAAGATCTTAAAAATTCATAGATGTGAAAGTACCCTATCTCAGAGGAGTGCACAATTTTAAGAACATACTGCTCACAGATAACAGAGCACACATTTTATATATTAATCAAAGACAAGTTCACATATTCGTACCTGTTTCTCAAACAGCACCACAATACTATCTGCTCCTTGTGCTGCTCTTTATTCATTGCTGACTCATTCGCTATGGCTTGCATAGGGGTTTTCCACAGCAAAAACAGAAGTCAAAGCACAGCCAAGCCTTCATTCCCAAAGAAAAAAAACCCACACACATTCCTACGCAAAAGAGTTTCAAAAATCTTTACTAAACCTCACATGCACAACAACCCTTAAATTAACAATAAAATTCTGTCTTGCAAAAAAACAGTACACTGATTCTTTTGTACTACTGAATTTTATTTTGGGTGTTCTATTATAGGTGAAAATGACATGAGTGGATGTTTTGCATGCACATGCCTCTGGCTCACACTGCTCCTCATTATTCCTGCATACAGCTCCTGACAAAGATGTTCTCACTCCATCGGACATGCAACTCCACATTCTCCATTGTTACGTATGCAGACAAATGTTGGAATATCTGGAGGCAAAGTTGCCGCCTGGAAACAGATGAGCTTAGCAATGAGTGTAAAAGTCAGTGTAAAATAAGCTGCAGTGGTTGCTTAGAATGAAATGATTTGTGTCTAGGTAGCAAAAAAAAAAAAAAAAAAAACTGGCTATATCCATTTAAAAATCGCCGGTTTCTGATACTTAAAGCAAAATTTGGGACAGTGATAAATTATCAGTCTTGCAGGAGGTAAGACAGAAAATATTATAAAGGTAAAATAAAAAGAACAAGGTTGCTTAAATGTACACCATCTCGAACTAAAAGCTTGCTGAAGCAACCTTTGATTTATCTTCATCTTTTGGTCTTAAGTTCACATCCTCCAAATATAGAGAATCTAATAGAATTAAAGTAGAGGTAAACCAGCATTTTATGATTTTTCTGACATTATTCAACATTGTATTGTAGTGAACATAACCATAAACAACTGGCAAAAGTAGGGAACCAAAGCAATCTGGCCACCAAGACACTTCTTCCTGCTTTAACTTCGTAGTTAAAAAAAAAATCTAAAAAAATAAAAACAGTTTTTATCCACTTATGATTTTATTTTGGTCTCTACATAAATATATATATATATATATAAAAAAAAAAAAAAAAAAAAAAAAAATATATATATATATATATATATATATATATATATATATATAAAAGAAATTTGCTTTTTTCATGTCTTGAAATACATTTCCTGTATAGTAGCTATATCTTTGTATGTATATATTATTTTTGTATATATATCTTTAAAAACTATAGTCATATGTTTTCACCACTTTTTTCATCACAATATTTTTATCACTGCTGCTTACCTGCAATTTAAAAAATGAAATAGTCTAGAGAGCTGTACTTAACGAAATTTCTTTTTGTTTATACTTGTGTGTCTAAAATAAAATACATCTTAGTCTCAGTCTAAGTCTTTGTGCCTGTGAGGAGCACAGAGCAATTTAAACTTACAACTCTAAGTGTGTCCATATGCTCAGACAAAGAAGGAAGTTTCTAAGATAGCAGAACACCTCCAGGCCTGGATTAAATCTCATTATACAATTTGAAAGACCTGATAGATTTATAAAGAAACTAAGCTGTAACTTTTAGACCAGTATTGAATAAAGAACAGCGTACTAGAGCTAAACATGGTGGCGCCATTCTCGTGCTCCTGGGTTGCTTTCTTCAGATGTAAATGGCATTTTGTCATAGTGGAAAAAACTTCGAGAATGTTTAAATAGATGTCTGGTTTGGATTAGTTTAAAAGTTTTTTTTGAACTACAAAATGATTTTTTCCATAATACTAAAATGATTTCTATAGAGTCCAAAATAAAATCTGTTTAGAAGGATGTGGGGTCACCTTTTGAAAGACGTGGGCAAACATTTTCTTTACATTTAACAGATTTAGAGAACCTCTGCAAATAAAACTAATGGCATATTGACAGACAGAAAGTTAGATGTGCAAGTTAGATCAGTCTGAGTGAGAAAATAATTAAAAAAAAAATTCACACCCAGTTCATTTCTTTAAATTTTCCTGTAAAATTATTAGTTTTGTATTATTGGTTCTTCAGTTAAACATTATAAGACATAATTCATCTTAAAGGATTTATACACATCTCAATTCTTCAAACCTTTCATTCTAACAGACTTATGAAAACAACTGTAAAGAACAACATTTTGGAGGAAGTCTTTTAAGAATGACTTTATTTATCTGTAATACTGTACATCATATCAGTAAACTTGAATTTGCAACAATTTTCTTCTTCATATTAAACTTCATGCATCTGTTCAGTCTGTAACAAAAATGTGCCGTTCTTACTCCTATGTCAAAATCATTTCTATTGATGTTTGGAGTGATATCTTTTAAAGAGTAAGGCACAAAAGGTAAAATGTATTAAACTTTGATTTTAATGCTTTTTAACATGCAGGAGTCTTCCAACGGTTCAAGGAGTCTGAGTCACGTACTATGACTTTATGGATTTCTACACTTATCTCACATAGATTGCATACAAATGTTTTTTATTTCTAAACCGTGGTGCCCTGTTGGCTTAATATATTTTATTTCTGTATTTTACACTTTATTTTTACCATTTGTTAACGGATGAGAGCGTTTCATGTATTTACTATAATAACACCACATGACCGGAGGTACAACGTTTAGCATGAATGGGTAAACAAGGAAGTAATGGAGTTAAGGAACTACCAGCGGATGTGTTAAAAGAAATTGTAAGTGTGAAAAAGCGAAAACAAAAACAAAAAATCATATCAAAAGGGATATTACACAAGTAGCAATTAAAACAAAATATGATAGCTGGTGTCTCGCCTGGTGGAATAATTCTCTTCAGGCTCAAAAGACACTAAGCAATCACTATCAGGTTGATTGCTTTATTTAAATATGAACATATGGTTATTGGTGTAGACATAGTACGTGACTAGGCATCTTTAAGTCATGACAGACAAACACTGTCATTCCGCGTAAAATCATCAGAGTGCTTTTGGTCCTATGATCCATAGTCACTGTTAGGTATCCCACGATACAGTGTAGCAGAGAGATAAGACAATAGATGTGGAGGTCTTTCTTCACCCTTGACAAGTTCCGAACTCAGGAGGTAGAGAAGCTAAAGAAAAAAGACAGAGAACAATTTTAGGGTCAACTACTTAGAGATATTTTCAACATTCGGGTCACTGACGATCTGTGTCAGTGTGCTCACTTATTTTACACTGTTACCACAGCTACACAGTTAATTTGGGCATTGGGCTCCAGCAAGCTAGCTTAAGGAAGCACGGCTGTGGATTCCTGATCTGTGAGCTCATAGTTCAAACTTTCAGACTCTTGGTTCACTTGAGGTTTCAGACAGAATTCTCTAAAAAAAAATGTAAAAAATAAAATAGGACATAGATGTTGAAAACTGGGAAAATAAACATTGTTTCCCTATATTTTACAGCAATTAGGTAAAACATAATTATGTGTAGGCTATGTGTGTCAGAGTGTATGTTTAAAAATACTCTGTTGCCTGCTGAGGGAGAGGCAAGCAGATGTTATTCTGGAGGCTCGTATTGCATCGTAATTATGTCCTCAAGTAAGAGTGGTTTGTGTCCTCAGAAGACTGATGACCATCGCAAAGCAACACTGAGTTTAGTGACTGGGAGTGACCAGAACATGTAAACACTCCAGTGGTGCACTCAGTGGGAACATAGTGAGAAAATATAAAAAAAAAATGTTCTAACTTATTCCAAAATTTCTGAGTTTTCTTATAAACTATTGGATGTTGTTGGTTAGTTGCATGTATGAAATTCTTAGGAAAATAAAATACATCAACCACTGATTTCTAGTAAAGGCCAGAGGAGGATTATAAGGATATTTAGACCCCTGGATATCTCTTGGAGCTATCAGAGTAAATGATGTGAGGAGGAATTATGCACAGTACTGGTTGTACTTTAATTTAAAACTAGTTATTTTAACAGAAGGCTAAAATTTATTCTCACTATTAGGAGCCTGAGAAAAATTTTGAATTAAACAGATTTTTCTCCAGTTCTATATGTAGTAAAGCCTCTCCTTTTACCTATCATCACATCATTAACACTTTGCACATCCCAATTTAATGGGATATGGGCCAGCTGCCCATATGGCCCCTGGAAAAAAATCTCAGTATGGTCAAGGTCTTTTCTATCTCACTAATTATCATCGACTCCAGCTCTGGTCCTTAAAACAAATCTGATCAGATGCAAAATGATCAAACTAAATTTAGTCTAAACACAATTTTAAATGATTTCCTTATCTTTTAATCACAGATTGTCTTTATTCTTTAAAGCTTTCAAACCACTGACTCGAGTTTGATCACTTTAAAACTTACCTTCCAGCCAGAGCGCCTCATCCTCCCCGCTGCTGCCTAATGCGCTGCGTAAAGGTACCGGTTCCTCCCGGTTAAGAGGGCCTGCTGGTTCTTGTACCGGACCAGAGCCAAGGCGATCTCCGCGTTCCACAGGGTGCCCTCCTGCGCGCACCGAAAGTCTATTTCCTTTCCTTTTGCCATCACCACGGTGAAGTACACCATTCCTCTCTTGTACTCCACACACTCCACTGTCTCCATGCGCTCGAAGAGTAACTCCTTGGCCCCGGATGTCCACGCCGACCCCTGCGTGTTATTACCGCCGCCTTTGCAGCTGTGCAGACGGAGTCCTTCCTCCGTGAGGACGCAGCGCTTCTTCTTCCACAGCTGGAGAAGCCCGCTGCTGCGCTTCTCCAACAGCCCGTCTCTAATCACTTTGACCGGTAAGGACATGACCTGAACTCAGACTTACACTGTGCAATCTACAGCAGATATATCCATTAACCTGATTTTAAACACCGACTTTTTCAGGCCGCCTGACTGTAAGGATAATAACCTATAAGCTTCTTCAGTGACAGGTGGCTGGCCGGTCTGCTCAGATATGTTTGGACATGCCCGGCTCCTCTGCGGACCTTCTCCTGCTCCAGCTGCTGCTCCCCGCCTCCTCACTGGTGACGGTAAAATATCCGGGCTGTTTATGAATCCTCTGCGTGATGCGCGTGCGTGAGAGTCGGTGTGTGAATGGTAATGGGTTCGTCACAGTCGCCCTCACTCCAACACTCTGAGTGTGTTGCTACTAAAACTGCTTCATTAATGACAGAGGCGTAGCCAGAATTTTTTTTATAAGGGTGGCCAGGCAATAACCAATGTTCACTGAGGGGGGCCGAAAGCGGATACTAGGCACCAGAACCTCAGATGATATTTGAAAAGTCACGAGCAAAACATCCATATTTTCTAAATAAAGACTAACTATACTTTCCTACAGCCTTTGCTAACAAATAGACGCATATATTTAAAGGGGAACACCGTTTTTTTTTACATTGGCCCCTTGATTTTATTTTATTACATCATCTTCTACTGAACCCTTATTAGTTTGGTGTCATATGTAGCTGTTCTGAAGATATTCGTTTTTTTTATATCCAAGTAACGTCTTCCTATGGGCAACAAGTTGAAGGCACAAACTAAAATAATAATTTATTCTTTATGGTACGCCAGCATTCATAACATGTAGGCGAATCACTGTCCCCCAGACATCCGAGGTTATATTTTTTATTTTATGTTTTTTAAAAACAAAGTGGAGTGTGTATGACGTCATCCGTGCGCGCCAGCTACCATTCATTCTTCCTGTCCGCTGAACTGCTGCTAGTTTTACTCACATGCCTGGAAGATGTCTAGTGCTACAACCACAGATGATCTCACTCTCGAACATTCAGATTAGCTAGCCGAATGAATATAAGGGGTAGAGCGTAGCCGCCTGTGGCCTGCGCTGCCTGTCACAACTCCAGTCCGGCACGCGGATGATAAAAGGTATAGTGGATAAAACTTCGTTTTGAGTTCTGGGGCATAAATCAATCATCATTGCCATTAATTAACTTCTTGTATCAATAAACATTCTCATAAAATTAATATTTACAAGCACTGATATCTACATGAATGAATTATTTAATACCTTATATATTTTAAAGCTTCCTAATCATAATAGCAATTTTTTTAATGCACAGAGGTGGAGTGTTAGATGAAAACAGAGATGAGTCATTATGTTGGTAACCTTTTACAATTAAGCACACACAATTAGGGAAGACCAGGAGAACTGAGGGAACTAAGTAGTCAGGTGATAAAGTAAGGCAAGGCAAGTTCATTTGTATAGCACAATTCACTAAAAAGACAATTAAATTTGTTTTAAATGAATAAAACAATAAAAATAGAAAGTTTTTAACTTTGATTAAAAATGACTCTGCCTTTTATAGAACTTTTACAGTCCTCTCTGAGTTTGTTCCTGATAAGTGGAGCATAGGAACTAAATGCTGCTTCTTCATTTTTGGTTCTAGTTCTGGGTGGACAGAGTAGGCTTAAACTAGAAGACCTGAGTGGTCTTGGAGGTTGATACACTGACAACCAATCTGTTATGTATTGAGGTGCTGATCTATTCAGTGATGTATAGACTAACAGAAGGATTTTAAAGTTTATTATCTGAGCTACAGGCAGCCAGTGTAAGCACTTCAGAACTGGGCTGATGTGCTCTACTTTCTTAGTTCTAGTGAGAACACTGGCAGCAGTGTTTTGGATCAGCTGCAGCTGTCCTGTGGACTTTTTAGGCAAAGCTATGAAGACACTGTTGCAATAGTCAATTCTACTAAAAATAAATGCATGAATGAGTTTTTTCTAGATCCTGCTTGGACATTAGACCTTTAATACTCTTCAGGTGATTAGAGGCTGAATTAGTTACTGTCTTTATGCGCCTCTGAAGGTGCAGATCTGAGTCCATCATGGCACCAAGATTTCAGCCATAATCAGTGGATTCTAGCTGTAGCAGCTGAAGCTGTGAGCTAAATTCGGATCTCAAATTCAGTAGCTTAGTTTTGTTTTTATTCATTCAGAACAAAATTGGTACATCTCTATATTGATCTGTTCTCAGCATTTTGCCAATGCTTCCATGGGGTCATAGTCACTTGGTAATATTGTGATGTTAAGCTATGTGTCACCTGCATAGTTATGGTGATTGATCTTGTTGTTTTTTATATTCTGAGCTAAAATTTTGAATTGTTTCTTAGTAAGAAGTCAGTATGATGTTTCACGTTACTTTAGGGTACTCAAAACTTTAGTTAATAGAACAGAAGATACTACTAAGGTAATTACTGGTTCCTCAGTAAACACTTGGTATGATTCTTGACTCTACAAAATCCATAAAATAATGGCTAGGCATTAATCTGGTTCTCTGACAGCAGTATCATTGACAGGAGGCAAGATTTTCATAAGATGTGACCTCACAGGTGTAGGGTTTATTCCCTGTTTTTGTAGTAATTAACCAGCAGTCCCCTAATAAGTACTGTTAACCACCCTTTAGTTATATATTATTGCCTATTTGATTTCTGTGGTAACTACCTCTTAGTTCTTGATTAATGATTGTTTCTTCAGTAAATGCCCATTAGTTCCTGTGTTTCCCAGGTAACTTAAGCCTTAGTCCCATAATAAGGCTGCATGGGCTGGGTATTCCCCACTAAGTACTGATCAACTACCCATTAGTTCCTGATCAGTTCCTTGGATGTTCTCTATCATTAATCATATTTTTTGTACCTAAATGTATCAAAATGTTCTTCTAAAATGTTTAAGAAAGTGAAAAAAAAGACACAGTCGCAATGTAATGCAAAATGTTATTTTATGAGTTGCACCTGATAATCAAGCACATTGAGTAATACTACAAATAATACTGTAAAAAATACACGAAGGTTTTAAAAATATCCAATACAAACATCTTACAAGAGTGAAAGGACATTTTAATTTTTTACATATTTTGCAGTCTGACAATAGACATGTTGAGCCATTCTCCAATTTTTACAATATAGAAGCTTTATCATGTGAGCAGCATGAGGTGTGCTACTGAGTTATGAGAAAAATGAATAAAATGTAAAGTGGCATCTCTTTTAAATATAAATTCACGTAAACAACCTGGCTTCTGTATTTCTCTTTCAATGAACTTGTGCAAAAACACATGCCTTTTGTTTTTTTATAGCATATAATTGTATTTGAAGAAAGAGGACACTGAGTCTTTATTTGATTTATCACTGAACTATTTCTGAAAAGTAATCATCCGAGTCTGTTTCTCTGTTTCAACTGCTAAATATGAAGTTAAAGCATTAGCACAAGTCAGTGTACAGTTAAAGAGATTGATTAAATAGACATAGTGTGATTAAATTGATCTATTTTTTGATCATACTCTGCTAGATTTTCAGAAAGTGGTGGATTAAGAGGAAAAAACATTTTCAATCTTTGTGTTGTGATCTCTAGAAATTTTCTAATGCAGTGCTGGATGAAGGATGCCTCCTCCAGATTAGTTGTAGCAGCTGCCGTCTGCATGGAAAGTAGTTTAGCGTGAAGCAGACATGCCACACTGGACCTCACTGGGTGTGCGCCAACGCTCCGGCTCCTAGTCCATACCCGAATCCCTTGGGACCAAAGTTTTTGCCGTAACAGGCTGTTGGAAGTAGAAAGAGAGTGTCATCAATTTCCACTCCTAAATAGCATTGCCATATCGCCGACTGAAGGCTGCTTAGTCATAAATGCGTCAAACAAAACCTTTAACTGAATGGAGTCAAAACAGAGAATTTGCTTGTCACTTCCTCTATCAGTCATATTGATAGGCACCCCTGGTAATGATGTGGAAAGCCTTTCAAGAAGTTAATCAAAAACTCTATTCTTTGTATTCTGTAACCTGGAAAAATTCTGAAGGGAAATTAGAAACTGTCATAAAATTATTTTTTGTTAAAAGAATTAAAGCATAAGTGCCAACATTTGTGCCTCTTTGCTTATGGTAGAAAAAACAATGTCTGGATAATTTTTTACTTTTATATTAAAGGGACCATATTATTTGATCTAATCTAATCTGATATAATATAAAATAAAATTGAAGTTTTTTTTATGATTATCTGTATGAATATTCTAGTGCTAAAATAACTTTTGACTTTATGATCCCCAAGATTATAGGGGACAATTGTTTTGCTGATGAAATGTGAGACATTATAGAAGGTGTTTGACTATGTTATTTTAAACTAACACACCTTTTAAAAAAATAGCATAATGCTGGTTGTAATGGTTTAGGAAAGTTTAATTGTATACGAACCTGGAGGGCCTGATATAACAGATTCAACCCATAATTCTGCTCTCTTGAAGAAACTACAGATGGAGATTTAGTCATTTTTTCCCCTTTATACTTAAGGTTACTTGGGTTTTTCTTGCAATTGTTGGACTTAAATCAGCCTGCCATGCTGTATCATTCCCTTGAATACTTAAACATCCTCTTGGTGACTAAATCAAACAATTCTATGTAGAAGAGTGGGTCAAAATCGCCAAGTCTTTGTAATTATTACTAACCCTTGATGCAAGTTCTTTTACCTGTATGGGTGACTTAACCAGTAGGTTTAAGAGGTAATAATTGCTTTTCACATAGGGCAAGCTTGAATTGAATAGCATTTTTAACTTGTACCGGTATTTAGTTAGGTTATAATTGTCTGGTATTAAAATGTATGTTGTAACCTTAATAAATTAATTCAAGTGTGAAAACAGAATATAAATGTAAATCCCTTTATTGTCCCACAATGGGGAAATTCACTCTCTGCATTTTAACCCATCCCCTCGGGGAGCAATGGGCTGCCATTGTGTGGCGTCCAGAGAGCAGTGTGGGGTTAAGGGTCTAGTTCAGGAGCCCCAGAGTGCAGGATGTGCTGATCGAACCGGGTACTTGAGACCTTCTCAGAGCACAAGTGCACTGCTCTTAACCACTAGGCGAAAACTCCCCCACACATTTAGCTATGCCTCAAAACATTTGAACTGCAGATTTTAGGAGGCTGTTAGAAATTTTCAAAAAGTTTATTCAATAAAAATGTTTAATACATTGAATTTTAAGAGTTTGCTTATAGCTTATCCAACATCGAGACCAATAATCTTTAGATATAGATGGGATAATTTTCTTTATTTTTATTAAATTCTTCATTAATGTACTATATTAAGATACTATTTTTCTAAAGCTGGTCCAGAATTTTTATAGACTGCAAGATATGTTTTTACAGTGACCTGCTGTGTTATTGCTCCCCCTGCTGTTGTAATGTACTCATTACAATCACATATTTAAAACAAAAATATTGTACACGTGAGTGGTGCGTATTAATTAAATGTGATGAGTGTCAGTGAGTTTTATAACTGGGCAGTATTTATTCTGCTCTAAGCATCTTTTAAAAGTATTGATATGTGTAACTGCTTATTGTGGCAACTTTTCTCATTAAGATGGGACTCAGTCTTTGTAATTAAAAGCCCATTACCAACACATATTGTTGCTGATTCCTCCCAACTTTTTAAAGTTTTTGTTGTTAATCCAGTAGATGAATAGTCTCTTTTCTTCCCCCCTTGTTTTTACAATCCTAACAAAAACTTAAAGGGTTGAAGTTGATGAAGAAGTACATTTGTTCTCATTTTCTAATTCAAGAATTTCTCTCCTCTAGATTCTCATGTTTCATCATTATGCACAATCCTTCATGACTATTCTTTTTTTCCCTTCATAAACTTTTTATAAATTCAGTAAGACTGAAAGTGGCTCTTTTAAAAGTTAAGGTCCAAACCTGCTTTATGTTGCATTTAGGTTAAAGCTCAGTGACTATTTTCCTGATTATAAGCCTAAAGAAGAAGATCAAGATGTTCCATCATAAACCATTTAAAGAATGAAGTATCCCTTCCATACCAGAGTGTTATGGATTTACATACATGGATAAAATTGATTTTCTCATAATTTTGAATATATGGCTTATACAGTACCTTTACAGTAGATTTCTCCTTCCTTATCAGCTAGTGTGGTCGACTCAAGACTTTTCCCACATGTGGCACAGGTGAAACATCCAATCTTATGCCAAGACTTGAAAGAAGCGAAAAATCACTATTCAAATGGTCAACATATGGATGTGGATGGTTTGCCTATGTGAGGTTTTCTTACATTTCCTGCTCCAATCACTTTCTCAGCAGCATAGACAGCCTTGCCACACCGGGGGCATCTATCTGACCCTCCAAACTTCTGTGCTATCTTAGAGGGGTTTGGATTGGTGGTTGGGCGATGAGGGGCAGGTCTGATAGACAAGGAGGGGAAAACTATTAATAACGAAGAGCCCTCAATGGCTAGTTATTAGTAATTAAATGTGTGTGGGAGTATTACTCACATTTCCTGTTTAATACCCAATGATTCTCCTTTGTCCATGCTGAGGGTCCCGGCACCCTGACCATACCCATAGCCTTTTGGTCCATATTTCTTGCCATAGCATGCCTTGCAGTAGACTTCATCCATATGGACAGCTACAGTTGTGCTGTCCAAGTTCTTCCCACACACCACTATACAAATATATTGACATTCACAGACAAGAACAAATGCAATATATTATTGTTTGCATATTTGTGCTGTTTAAGGGTGTTTAGACAAGTTCCAAACGTCTTCCTTATATGGCAAAGCATTTCTGGAAAAGCATGCTCTCATCTAAACTCGACTGCAGGAATGTTAGATAACAAAGCGGGGACACAAATATCACAATTATCTACTCAGAACTCCTTGAACTGATGGGCCGATTTTGCAACTACAGCTTGAAGTCTAAAGTTCAGAGTGAGAGGCAACTTTATCCTTCAAAAAAGCAAAAAATACATAATTTTGTTTTCCTTTATGTGTTTTAAGAAAATATCTGTTTCAAATTTCCATGTGTGTTTAATACCTCACAAAATGTGATTCAGTGTAATAACTAAGATAATCAGTTTTAATGCATAATGTTTACTCACTGCACAGGAAGCAGGACTTGTGGAAGCTCCGCCCATCGCACAGGACTTCCTCTGCAAAGTAAACTGTCTTTGAACAGCGGCCACATTTATTTCCTCCACCCAGAGGCATCCTTGGAAATAAAAGCAAATTAGATTAATTCTCAAAACCTACAGTGTTATCAGTTTAATAATTGTACCTTAGAAATACCCTGCAACAGGACGATTTTAATAAGTCTACACTAATAAAACAACGAAATGAAATATTGATGTTCCAGCACACAAGGAAACATCTATGAAGGAAAATGATTAGAAACTTGCAAATTAAAAGAAGCAACCGCATAGTAAAATGGTAGTTTCCAGATGCCATTTGAACATAATAAGCTACCTAAACAAAACCAAACCAAACAGAACTAACTGAACTGCTCTCTATTGGAAAGACTTCAAATATTTTGAACAATTAACATGTAATTTCCTTTTCCATATAAAATTCTTAAATACTCAATTTCAATACCTGAGAGAGGAAAGAAATAACCTGATGAAAGAAAGCCAGCTGGATTAGAGGACTAATAAATTCCCTGACAATATAGTTCATTTTTTATATGAAACACATTTTGAATTCTACATCTGTTTCTTTGTAATTCTGGTTTTATTCAAGACTCTAATTGAACGTCTCTCAGTTTACTGTGGCTTCTGTGAAGGAAAGCCAAACCAGTGTTGGAGAGTAAAAAAAGAAAAGTCATGCTAAACGGTAACAGATGAAAGTTTCTCTGTTGGAAAACAAACACAGTTAGTGTGAATGTAATGTGAAAGCATGGAAGTTGAAAGCCTCTCAGAAAGTCTAAGACTCTGGCATGCAGCCTGTTTCCACCCCGTGTGTTTCCCGACATGACCCTCCCAATCAATCCTCGTGTATCCACCTCCGCATTCCTGAGCCCCCCTCCCACACCCGCCACCACCCCTCTGTCCACATCATCTCCTGACTGTCTGTCTTGTCCCGCTGTATTTTCTGTTTATTTAAGACAGATAAAGTCCAGCGTGTAGCTATTTTGGAGCAAATGTTACTTCCTTTAATCAGTTAAGGCTTCAGAGCTCCTAAAAAACTCTTCAGTCATTTCCTATCACCCAAAGCAAATTTCCTCTTTTTTCAGAGCAAGTTCTTCCACAATGAACCCAGATAAGTTGAAGTTTCAAGAATTTGTTGTCATTGTCAAAAAAAGGCAAGAAATTGTGTTTGGGGTACAATACTTAGTAGCAGCAAGTTCCAAGTAAAGTGCACAAGAGGTAAAAGTGACACCAGTGCTTGACCCCCCCCCCCCCCCCCCCCCCTTTCAACTCACTTAAAGTGCAGCAAAGATTATTAAGTGCCATAATGCTTGCCCCCCCAACACACACACACACACACACACACACACACACACACACACACACACACACACACACACACACACTGAATAGAACTATAATAATGTCAAGGTGAATTACATTTATAAAAAGCTGTTGATTTGAATGTAGTCTTGTAGATTTTTTTTCATCTTAGCTACATGTGTAGGAGAAGTGTTTATTTGAGACATTTACCCCATTTCTGAAGTTAATGTAACACTCCAAGGTGAAGTTTACCTGTTAGCAGTAGTTCCCACTTTGCAAAATTCAGTCACTTTTGGTGATAACATGTCCACTGTCTTTGACCAGTCAGAGTTTGACAGAGATGGGGGATCTGCAGTTAACAAGTTATCTATGTCATGGATTTGTTCTGCCCAGACAATGAACCAGGTGAGTCCAATCTTCACGGGTTAATTCTCACTCTGCAGCAAGTAAATGATTGTGATCCCCAAATGTTCACTGAGACACCCAAACCCAAATAACCTGTTTGGGTTTGACATTATGTTGTTTTAGTTGCACCCCAGAGAGGTGGCCTTACCCTGAAACCCAAATTAGAAAATTGAAGGAAGACAAGTTATGGAGCTAGGTAGTTTCATTCTCTCTACTGGTTAAACGACTTTAATACTGAATGAAATTAGCAGTTTTTGCATTTGAACTGATGTATACCCAGGTTTCTACAGAAAGTATTGGGATTCCTGCATAGAAAATGTAGTTGCAGTAAAGTAGTAGTTTGAGCACAGTTACAGCCACAGACCCTCAGAGCGAGAATAAAATGCAGCTTATGTCATCAACATGAGAGTTTAGTTAAAGGACAGCGATAGGTTCATGATAACATGAAAGCAAAAAAAGACATCAGCTTACGAGGGTGCTTTTACACTCTAGAATAGCTGTGGTGCACAGGAAAACATAATGACTCCATGCATTAAGACCCTAGTTAAACCCAGGACTGTCACTGCAAGGCAACAGTGCCACCATTTTGACCTGTCTTTCCAGAACACAATATTCATGAGTGACTTCTACCAGTGATATGAAGCTGCTAACCAAATAGCATGGGCTGCATGAGATCAACAAACAAGTGTATACAGTCACTTATGAAAGGGAAAGAGGTGTCAGAGTTTTGCCTTCTGTTTATGTTTATTTTAGTTTGTAATTCTGTGTCTCACTAGTTGTTTTCTGTCAGTTTGGTATTTCTTTAGTTACTCTCTGTTGCCCCCTTGTGCCTGTCTCCTTTCCTCTTGGCTTCCTTCTAGTAAGTTCTATTCACACCTGCTCCATATTAGCTCATTAGCCCATTCTTTGCTCTCCCCCCCCCCCCCCCCCCCCCCCCCGTTTTTTTTCCTTTCTTTTTTTTCTTACCAGGATATTAAAAATTATTTAACTGAACAATATTATTTCTTTCTTCACATAAACTTACAATTGTTGTTCTTTTTATATTATTTCTACTTTGATGTAATTTTTTTATGTCACCTATCTACAGTACTTGTTATTGCCGTTGTGAGACCCAAATTTCCCAACTAATCATCTATTAGCTTAAGTTTCAGCTGTTGCCTCGTGCTAATTTAGGGAGACAAGTTGCTGAAAATTTAGAACATGAAATCAGCAGAAATCTCTTACCGACAGTCTTAAAGCATTTGAAAAAAAACAAACTGCATATTTTTAAAAATGGGATAATTTGAATGTTTGCAATTGTCTTGGATGGTTTATGTTTTTGTAAACTGCCTAAGATTACATTTTGAATTGTTGCTATATAAACTTTATTCACCTGAAGTACCAAAATGCTGATGATTAAGATCCACAAATAATCTGAGGAAATCTTACAGGACCTAGATGAGAATTGAGTTCCAATGGTCAGTTACCCTACAAGTAGGGTTTGTTTCTTACTTTTGCTACAAAGTACAACACAACTGACCTCAACCACTGGGTAACTAGAAAGTGATGCCATGCAGAGCAGTTCATTCAGTCATTAATAAGTGGATCCAATTTGGGACTCAGAGGCTCATGCTGATCTAGAGAATCATGCTGGTGTTACACTCTGAAACAAGTTATTGGTTTAACACTGCAGGTTTGGACACGTAGCTGTGCAGACAGTGTTATGGGAATGCTCTAGTAAAACAGGAAGAAATAACAGGTACTAATCAGGAAGTTCACAATCTACACGTGGCTTTGTATGAGTTTAAAGAGACTTCTTCGCTTTGCTCAACGCTTTATATTTTTCTGATGTAGGTCATAGAACTCTTTTACTATTTCCTGTAATTTATAACATTGGCTCCTGTTTTCTCCAGTGGATTTAACAATAACATTGTCTTGTGGGTTTTTTTCATCATGCATCATTAAGATATTGTAAAGTCTTTAAAGCTAAAAAAAAAAAAAAAGAAAATAGATGTGCGTTAAAAAGCATTACTCACCTAAAGTCAGTAGATGTTGGTCTGACTTGAAGGACAGAATCAAGTTGAATGCAGACTCGGTGCCAGAGGGTGTGTTCAGGAAACCAGTCGTCTAAAATGGTACTCAGTAACTACCCTTAGATTTAAGAGAGAATTTGATTCCCTGAATTTCCCAGTGGTGGAGGTTAAAGCAAAAAGCTGTTAATTCTCTTCTATGTTGGTCCAGATGTATTGAAAGGCAAAAACTTCGCCTGTTGTGAGAGAAGAGTGCAAAGCACTGAGGAAGAGGGAAGTTTTTTGGGTAACTCGCCAAGCCAGAGAGACATTAGAGTAAAAGTGGGTGGGGTCAGAGGTGATTAAGAGAGGCAGTGGTCTGTCTTGTCTTTCAAAATGTAAAATCCTGTTAACCCTAAAAAGTTACTGAAGGTGTCTTAATGTGTCCCTTTTTTCTCATAAATCCAAGTCTTTATGTCTTAATGTCAAGGAAAGTTCAGATTGAAGGGTGGGGTTCTGTTAGGAACCAATGACTTGTAAATATCTTACCTGCAGTAAATAACTTTAAATCATCTTAATAGCAGTGGTTTGCATTGATTACAGTTTACACTTTATAAAATGAAAGAAATTATTAAATCAAATATTAATCAATATTCCGGTCAAAAATAAGGACCTCTTTATGAACCCAGATGGTTGCCATGGTTATATTATAGATTAACACATACAAGCTAAGACAATCCTCAGGATGCTCAGACCAGCACAGGGCATCAAATAACCTATTAATATCTTTCAACCCTATGCATGAAAAAAAAAATAATAATTTTTTCATTTTGGTTTGGTGAAACGCTGTCAGACACAGGGTTTCCTCAGGGGTGTATCCTAGTCTCCGTTTATATATCTGATACACAATTGACTGCATTAAACACTGTACATACAGTAATTAAACAGATGCCTGTTTAGCAAGTTGCAAGAAGGGCTTGGAAAGAATACATTTTGTAAGAAAGTTCAATCTGGAATCAATAACATGCTAAAGATTTTATTTCACAGGTGTGTTGTAGAACTGTTTTGACATGAGGTTGTATTGCCCGGAATAGCACCCTACCCTTAAAAGATAAGAACTGCCTGGTTATTCCTCTTACAAAGACCAGAAAACAGCATTTGGCACCCCCCAAAGAGCAATGTGGAACATCAAAGTTGTGGCCTTATCTTTATTTATATATTCCACCTTTCATATACTTTAATTTGTTTAGTTATTAATGAAACACTGTTCTGTCTTATAAACATGCATTTCCGGGAATCTGTTGTTGGTACACAGGCTAAAACATGCAAAAGGCTCAAAAATAAACAAGGATGGAGCAGAAATGGCTGGAGGTCAGCTGTTCTAACTGTAGGCTCTGAATTTAAATTGAGTTTAAGGTCCACATTAATGTTCAACTGGGTGGTGTTTAGCTATTGAAGGCTTAGACACTATTTTTATTTTATATTAAAGGTATAGAGGAGGATGTTGTTTTTCTGGGTGGATGATCAAAATAAGTGGTCCTCCTAATTGTCAGTCATTCTGGTGATATGTTTACATAAGGCCATACTACGTGCTCATCTCCATTTTTACTTAGCGCTGGTGAGTCAGACATAGTGGGAAAATTGCAAATCTTCTTTTGGAAAGTAAGCTTGTATGAGTGATGCAAACAGCAACTTTTAAACAGAGCGTGCACGAGGAGGAATGGGCTCGTGCACACTCTTGCACGCGATTGATAGGCGTTCCCTCTCGGGAGCGGGTACAGGGTTGTGCATGTGCATTTTTTTTTCTTTTACCTTTATGTTTGGGCAAAAAAATTAAGCATTTCTTAGTTCCACGGAGCAATGTTATTAGTTTTTTCCTCTAAGCTAAAAATTTTTCAACAGTAACCAACTATATATTGTGTATGATATTATTTGTAATACAGATGCTTAATTTGTAAGAGACTGTTTAGAAACTGACCTTTGGAATCTGATGAATCAACAATGTCATTTTGAAGTACCTCCAAGTTTATTACCACAACATGAAGTGACATTTAGAGGCTAAGGTTGCATTGCTTAATGGATGAGAAGGAACGAGGAGAAGCTCACTGAAGCATCTTGTTAAAATAAAATGAAACATTATCAGTTTTCTATTGTATTTAAGTTGCAAACATTTATTTCACAACAGATGAATACAAAAAGAAAATATTATATTTAAGATTTAAAAATAAACACAAAACACAGACAGTAAATAAAATGAAATATACAAAACTTGAATTAAATCATCTGCAAAAAGTATTGACATTTCATTGTTAATATTGGCAAGCTGTAAATAATGGCATAAAAAGCATTGATTATACTGTCGATATTATAACCCCAGCTAAAGAAAAGAGAGAGTGCTTGGTAGAAAGGACAGTGCATGACATATACTGTTTTCCAACTTCTTATTATCTTGCAATAATTTTTAGTGTTAAGAACCAGCTGTGGTAACCAAATGTTACAACACTTTAACATTATTCTCAAAAGGCTTAACAAATGGTGTAAAAGTTGAAAAAATTATCCAAACATTGGTGTGGTGGGCTGAGCAAGAACCCTAAGGACCAGCAATAAAAGCATGGCAATAGTTTGTCTCTGCTGCCCTCATGTGGTCATTGTGAAAATTAAAGGATTAATAACCTTTGGAATGGTTTTTTTTCTCCCTTTTTTTTCTTGCTCATTTGGTTAGAATATGTTTGTCATGAAAAGTGTCTGAATCCTTGTGGATCTGGATCCAGATTTGATATCTCTGTTTAAAAAGATTCGGCCGCCTTCTTTTTCAAACTGTATGGGCCTTAATTATTGTTTAATTTTATCATCAGTACTGGAAGAAACGGACTGTGCATGTGGATGAAGGGATTTTTGTTCATCTTATCTGGAAGCTATTTGCTACACTCTGTTTAACCTGAGAAAAACTTATGGCTTTAAGTTATTGGTGACATTTAGTGACGACAGATCTTGAAACATTTAGAGCTAATGGGTGCTGTGAAACTCTCTAGTTCCCTGTTTACTCAAAACATAACCACATAAAAAAAATCACTTAGGACATTAAACAAACAGGATATTATATCTCAAAAACATGAAGCTGTATTCAAGCACAACAGAGCCAGGCGAAGTGTGTGTCTAGTAGGTCAAAAACCGATAGGATCAGCTGGTTTTCTTAGATACTGTAGAAATCAATCTAATTGGATAATTTGATTAAATTTTCTCTGCAAATTTGAGATTATATGTGTCGTGAATTGGCTCTAAAAAAGAAATAAACTGAATTTAATCATTTTGAAGTACCTTGAATTTATTTGATTTGAATTGATAGTTTGGATATGTTGTTTCTTTTTGCATGTATTGAAGGGAAATGTTCTTGATTTAAAAAACAAAAAACAAAAGACAAACTTGAAGTCAGTTATTATAAACGAAAAGTTCCTTGACTTTCATACCAGGCTAATGAAGAATAAAAAAAAACAATGAAAATATCTTCATTAGTGTTTTGTGAATAATAATGTGCCAATAAATGTGCGCTACTGAATATTTTAATTTGCCTACACTTGCCTCTCCCCTTTAAAATATAATCCAGTCAATGATATTACACTATTGCACAAAAAGCTAAATTATTTTAAGGGCTTTGAAGATTTTTTTAATCAAATATAAAAAAGGTGTAAAAATTTCAAGTATAAATTTAAAAAAGTTGCACCTTATTTGGCTAGCCTCTATTAGATTGATATGTCGTCAATAGTTACCTTAACCTTGTATGAGTTGAGGTAAGTATGAGCAAATGTGGATTCAAGAAGGTTCTTCAATTAAGAAGGAGAAAAGTTCTAATTTATCAGCATGTTTTTTCCAGATTTTACATGCAAAACTAAGTATTTCTCTATTGGGATATTCTGTTTCTTGATTTGTCTGAAAGAGTCCGGGCATTAAACTGTTACAATCCAGAACTAATTTTTAAATTAGAAAAAGATGTAACTTTGTTCATATCTTATTTTGAAGAGCTGGATTTCAATTTTGTAAAGCACAAAATCTAACACTTTAGATAAACCCACTAATAAACTTATTCATATGATTTATCTTGTCTGTGGCTGATGTATTTTACTGGCTACTTGATTTACAACTTGTTTGTGTGAAGCCTGTTTTACACATCGGATACAGTTTAAAACAGGATGTGGTATAGTGTCACCATCCAGTGGTAACAATACTGTCAAACAAAGTTAGAGACTATACCGGTAACTCATAAACAAGACAGAGCCATTATACTAGAGAGATAAGCTCATAAAAAAGGTCTAAATTATCTCGGAGTGCCTTTAAATTTGACATTGATTAACCAGCTATGTTTGTAACTTTAGTGTGTTGATCCAACACAAATGCAGAGATTTTATTTAGGCTACACTTGTAGCTTCAGACAACAAGCGTAAACCCAAATCTCCCCTAAGTCTGCCCCTTAGTGACCGGGACACAAGTGTCCCTTTGTTAAAACAGCGACTGTCTCTAGAGAGGGGACATGCCTCAGGGGACATCTGAAGATTAGCTATGTCATTACCCCTTCCAACCCACACAACCCTACTCAAACCACACACTCACTGCACACACTTACACACCACTTCCCATAATCCTCTGTCACAAGTCACTTCCCATTTTTCTGAAACACAGGGACAAAGCAACAGATCATGTGGGATTTTTGTTGATTTTATGGTTACAGAAGTTTTACAGTTTTTATTTATCTGTTTAGAGCTGAAGAAAACAGAGGAGTCACCCTGGGTTTAATGTTAGGATTGATAGGTGAGTAATGTGCCAAATATTAATAGTAGAGCATCTCATGTTTACAGTATGCATTGGAAAAACGATCTCGAAATAAGTAAAAATGTCTTAGATTAAGTGCATTTACCCTTAATTTGAGTAGGTAAATGAGAGAGTTTGCCAATGGAATTAGTATTTTTACTCTTAAAATAAGATATTTAGATAAAATGCACTTGAAATAAGACAATACAATTATGTTTTCTTTTTTTAAATGTAAATAGTCTTGTTCCATTGGCAAAATGTATCTTTTACCTGCTCAATCCAAGAACAAATGCACTCATTTTAAGAAAAAAAATGACTTATCTGAATTTGGATTTTTCCAGTATGGAGAAGCATAGGGGGATGAGGAGGTCATGTGTGTTGTACAGTTTGCATGCTGGGGGAGGGGTTGTGTATTGCCGGGAACATATTGTGTTTTAAGGAAGAATTGCTCCACCATGCCTGGTTCAGCAGCTTTGTTTTTATTTGCATAATGGAGTCTCACTGAGCAGACACTCCATTATGCATG